TTCCCAAAACCTTCCCAGTCCTCCTGGCATCTCAGCAGGCTGTCACCTTCCACCCTTCTGAGTGTTCGGCAAACATACCAGAGGGCCACAGGGCATCAGGGGCAGCACTACCAGTTTAGTGACATCAGTGATTGTAGTTGAGTGGTCCAGCTGAGCTCTACAGGTTTTGATATTGAAAAGCATCATCCAATCTGCAACCAGCATTGTCTATTTGATGCATCTAGTGCACCAGAATTTCAATGCAGTCCAAAAAACATAAACAGGTCTACCTCACTCACAACCAGTCACAAACCTTCAAGACGCCATCGTAGAATTTCCCTCTCTTTGTTTTTCTTAGCCAGTGCCAGTCTATGGAAGTGCCTTGGCGCTAGACTCAACAGAACACACATGCCGCAGAGGCAAGAGAACATCTGTTGTGGTCAGCGGCTGTGGGCAAAATGTTTCATTTCGACAAGATGGCCTGTGGCAGCACAATGGCTTAGTGGTTGGGAGAATGACCGGATTGCCAGTAATTGTGGTCAGGGTTTACCTAAGTTGGAGAAAACTTCTTAAAAGATATGTGTTCACATTTAATATAGCATTACTCAAGTTATGAAATGTCCAGCAACAACAGTGTAGTGCCTGAAATTCAATTTCAAAGTCTTGGAGTGTGATGGTACATATTCATTTTAACATTAAATGCCTTCCTGTCAATAGTCTTTTCCCGTGAGGTCCATTTTCCATTTGACATCAAACTACTATTCAACAATAACAAGCATCAGGCCCGATCACTGCTGCATGCAAGCCATGATTTCACTGATGAGAGGCTAGATTACATTGACAGACTAAATCTTCAATGGTAGTAAAACATATGGCAACTGTTGGATTCAACCTTGAGATGTTCCATTGTCACAGCCCTTGTCATAGCACTCATTCAGATTTTGACGCCTTTGAGCGTCTGTCTGCAGCAGAGTAGTGAGCTAACCAACCATTTTTGCATTGTTGGCACCCTGTCTCCTTCTTCTGTCTTGCACTCTGCATTTCTCTTCCCTTCTTGGCCCTTGTGGCAGAGTGGAGAAGGCAACAGTGACCCTATTGTAAATGGTGGGAATTGGGCAGCAAGCCAATGATGTCATCCCACCATAAGGAAGATCAGGGAGAATGCCCTCCTGGTGCTAAAATGTACTATTTCTCCCTGCAGTTTTTTTGGGAAGGCATGATCAATTCAATTCCACCTTCATCTCTGCTGTGTCCAGGTCAGTCTAAGTGAGGAAGCAGAGAAAGAGACATCTCCCAACTTTCAAAAAGGGTGAATCCATCAAATGTGCAAAAGGTTTACCCCTGACTAACTTTTCTTTAGATATGTTTTTGTAGGGATGTTATACACATGAAATTTCATGTGCAACATAGGCCAGTAAATATCTAGAATGGACATTAAAAAGAGGTAGTGTGCAGTTGAGAAACAACATTATAGTATTATAGTATATAGTAATATTACTAGTGAGTATATTGGATTGGTGCAATGATTTATTTTAATTTTCATACTGGCGGCCGGGGTAAAGCGCATTACCAACCTCAGACATGTGTTCTTGTGTTGCACATATTATTTTGATTATTGGGTAATGTTTTAGTATTTAGTTTTCCATTGTGTTGTATTAAGAAAATAGTTTTCTGGTTTTGCAAAATGCTATTAAGGAAATCTTCACAGTTGCAGGAGTCTGTGTTTTGACTGGGTCGAATCATCTTTTCAGTTTACCATTAACAAAGAGCTTAATTTGTGAAAAGGTTGTCCTTTGGTGTGTGTGTGAGTTCCACAGTGCAGCTGTGCTTGAGTTGATCAGCACCAAGTTCAAAGTGGGCCCACCATCACTTCTCAAAGCCACTGCGCTGTCTACGATCTGATCACCATTAATCACAGTGCACCATTTCTCCATCACAAGTGGAATGCTGCCGTAGAAACAAAGGATGCAGACTCAGATTGACTACAGATTGCATGGGCACAGCAGACAGTAACAAGCCTAACTCCCGCGTTGGTGCCGCGTTCTTTTCTTCCCCTCATCAGAACAAGGGGAAATATCACTTTGATGCTGTTTACTGGTATTTTGCAAAACTAACTTTATGGTGAATTTTTGTAGAAAGAAAAAAGTTGAGGGGCTTCAAAAGTAACGTTAACGGGAGACAGATTTTTGACATGCTTCCCAAGCCATCTGCTTTAGGTTAAGGCACGCAGACAAAGTTGAATATGGGGGAGAGTGGAGACAGAAGTAGAACTGGAGGATATGGTGAAGGCAGTGGGGAATGAAGGTAAATGCATTGACAGGCACTGATGGCCTTGTTTTTACATAACAGATTGGTTTTGAATCGTGGTCCAGGTGAGACATTAACTATCTAATTCAGAATAATGTTGTGTTGTTTCTTTGTTGTACTAAACTGAAAGAAAACTAAATTTTGTATTTTGAAATTCCTTTAGACATTCCTGTCTGTCCAGCTGCCAAGGAAACAAGAGAGTGGTGAAAATGAAACAGCACTAAGCTAATTACAGTTATCTCAGAAAAAGGGGTTTACACTACATCTCTGCCATTCAAAACATTATCATACTGTGCCTTTCCCTGAGTGACTTAATCTTTTAGACTATAAAGTTGATATAAAAATTGTATAATAAACAAGGATGATTTTGTAAGTCTAACATGTTTGTGCTTTGTGCCTCGAAGTTAACTCCCCTCCATCCTGTCCAAGCTGTCCGTCTCCTTCCACCCCCTGTGCCATTCTACCAGTCCCCAGTGGGCACAGTCAGCCAGTCTGGCCAGGCCAGCCCCTTGCTGTGCCCCAGCACTGGATAAGCTCCGGTCCGAAACTTGGGTAGAGGTCTTTGTGTGAAGCCGCAGGGGTGTCCGAGTGTCTATGTTTGCGTGTAGCATTCACAAGTGAAGGGTCCTATCTGTGCCTTAGGGCTGCCCCCCAAAGCACCCTCACCATGTGCCCTATTGAGACCTAAGGGAGCGTGAACAATCATTGCAAAACCAAAGAGCTAAGTCCTCTTGTTATACAAGCCCAATTTTCAGTGGCGACCCCACCTCTCTCCTATGCAGCGAGTCCACCCCCCAGCCCCTCTCGTCAGAAGCTTCGTTAAAGCAAGCCGGGATCCTTTTATGGTGTTATTTAATTAGCCATTCCACAGCAAACTGCCATCCGGCACCACCACCATTACCACAACACCCAAGCCCCCCCCCATCATGACAAACAGCAGTCTTTCCCACTGTGCTCACCATCCCCTCACTCTCTTCCACTTGTCTTTATCTCTGCAGTAATTAGCCCGGGTATGGGGGTGCACTTAATGCTGGCCAGCCTGACAGTATTAGAGCTTGGGACGAAAAGTTCCCGGCATGGGGCTCAGTGCACTAAGACCTGCGGAGGGAGACAATGGAATGGTCATTTCTACAGTAACAGCTCAGCCTTACTGTCCCCACTGCCCACTGAGTCCTGTCTACAAGGGACACTAATCATTAACCACTTTATAAGAGGGAAGTCTGTAGAGGTTGGGCTAAGCAAGCCCAAATGACAGATCATCAGAGAAATACATACTTCTCTATTAAATCATTCTCACGATATTTATGCAGCCATTTTACAAAGTTTCTGAAAACATATTAAGAATTCAACTATAATTTAAAGTGGCAGGAGACAAAATAACAAAGCATAAGGCAACGGTAAAGCAAACATTGTCAAAAGCATGACCACAAAATCAGAAACGACTATCACAAAAATTGCCTAATAAAAATCCATGTGCATTAGTAACTATAGCACAAATAGAATCCAGTGAGGCTCTTATACCATTCTAGTGATGTCCTCACTGGCCTTCAAAGCAAGTGCACCATTTGAGTTGAGCTGGACCATAACTTTGAGAACACATTCTTTCCTCATGCACTTCAATTTGAGCAGTCTCTGAACGAGCCTGGAGAATCCACAACATGCTAGATCGACGCCCTCTAGTGACCACTACAAAGGACCATCACAATGAGGAGGCAGCACTAACCACTACAGCGTTTCCAATAAATAGTATAAGAATGTTACTATAGATACCAAAACGAATGCATTAGTACGTAAAAAAAAATGACTGTCATGTATTAGTATTGTTATTCTATATTTATTTATTTACGATGAAAATAATAATTATTATAATAATAATCCAATTAAACTCAATCTGTTCTATCTGATACCTAACGTTTAGTTCCGTGGGCCCGATGCCACTCCCGCGTGGTGTAACGACTGCTTAGCATGGGAAAGGTTACTTATCCGCAGCCATTTATAGCCCTTAATTACGCGCCTATTTTGTGACCCCAGAGTTCAACGGGCCAATTCCTGTGCAGACCCAAATCCTGATGAACAAAGGTGGAATGTGATGCCCCTTTTCCGTAGACAAGCTACTAAATGTTTCCCATCAATTTCATGGGAAAGGTTCAAGCGGAGGAAACTGATTCATCTGATTATTGACAACGGATTGAAACTATTAGTCTGTAATACGGGGCCGACCAGAAAGAGTTGTAGCCTATTAGGATAGATTTGCTCATAAAATATAAGTTTCTTTACACCAACGTGGATAAAAGTGGTGCGTTAGGACCCAGTTGATCCTTAGATTGTGGCTGATATTTTCCACGTTGTGAGGGGAGGGTTGGCCCGAAAAGGAGAGCTGTCAATCACAGTGAAAGTGGCCGGGGTGGGCAGGACCCTCTGACACTTTGTACCGTCGGAGGGGGATATTTAACTTGGGACTGAGGGCAGCGCTCGCTACAGACACTCTCAGACTCGAGTAGGAGAGACGCAGCGCCACTTACCACAGCACACACTCCCTCAGGAATTGGCCGTAAAACGAGTCTACGTTTGGGACAGTCTCACCATGAAGTGGCGGAGAAGGATGCAGTGTTTCTGAAAGGATTCTATACTTCGAGGAACCAACTTTTCAAACTGAGTAGAGACGTTTTGAGACCTATGTTCCATGTAGAAGTAGACGAGACTTTGTAAACTATTTCAAAGTGTGGACTCATCCTGCGGGGAGAAACGGTGCGCAACGAGGGCGCATCTCGTTGCAGGACATTCTAAGCACTTTTGCTTCTCTGTGTAAGGTGCACATCTTGGGATTTGAAAGGCAACTGTCAGTGCGCGTGGATCGCGCGTCCTGGGACCTGGCTAGTGCTGAGCGCGTCAGGCGACGTGAAAAAGTCAAACCTCGGTTAGAAAGACACATGCGTAAAAATATCAGTGTTTTTTCAAACTTTGTTAAGTCGGCTTGTTTACTGTGGAGACGCCGTGGATCTATTCAGTCCCTGCACACAGCACTCAGTCGTTTAGAGTCTCCGGAGTAACCATGACAACAGAGAGAGACCCCAAGTGAATCCAAGTGAGCGGGGCTGACGCCGGAGCGAGCGTGAAAGAGTGATTTTGTTTGTGCGTTTTTTGATCAGACTACACATCATCAGCTGTAAAGCACCCCATGTCATTCAAACCGGTCGCGGTCTATTAAAAGTATCGCCTTGCTGGTGACTGAACCTCTACTATTTATGAAGCCCAGGGCCAGTGGTTGCATACAACACAGGCACCGGGCAAAGAAGTGAACTGTTACGCGATAGAAGAGGAACGATGGCGCTCTCGCAGACGCTCCTAGTTTACGTGTTCCTGTGCGTCCACGTCGGGGTCTCCTCCCAGCATTACCTACGCCTCCGTCCATCGCCCAGTGACCACCTGCCAGTGCCTGACCTCAAGGAGGACCCGGACCCGGAGTACGACCCACGGGAGCAGGACTTGGTGGAGAGGACTTTGAGGAAAAAGCTGGGCAGCAACTTTGACCCTAACTTCATGTCCATCAGCTCACCCATGCTGGTGAACCTCTCGGACACACATATGAAGCCACACGGGCCGATGCCCAACGAGATTAAAAAGCTGGACCTCACTGAAACCCCGTATGGGAAGCGGGTCAAAGTGGGGAAGAAGGCGAGGAGGAAATTCCTGCAGTGGCTGTGGACCTATACGCATTGCCCTGTCGTGTACACTTGGAAGGATTTGGGCGTAAGGTTCTGGCCACGTTACATAAAAGAGGGGAATTGTTTCTCGGAGCGCTCGTGCTCCTTCCCAGAGGGCATGTCTTGTAAACCAGTCAAGTCTATCAATAAGATTTTTCTACGATGGTACTGTCAAGGCTTCCTCAAACAGAAGTACTGCACGTGGATACAGGTGCAATACCCAATCATCTCAGAGTGCAAATGCTCGTGCTAATCCTCACGAGGAGGAGGAGGAGGAGGTGTGGACTGGAAATACGGTTTTCTATTGCACTGTTAACTATTACAAAAGTGGGCACCATAGCAAATCTATTTTTTTATATAGCATTTTAAGTGAAATATCAACATTGTACATATTTAAGACAAATGCAGCTATTTTTTTCTAATTGATCCAGGACCATATTTTATTCTGCGGAAAACATGAGCACTTCATATGGAAGAGCTTTCTTTTTTAAAAATATTTTTACATTAAGAGACTTTGAGAATGGATTGCTATACACTTCTTCAAGAAGGGAACTTTTCAACTGAACTGACTGTTATTTCACTGCAATGCTGCCTAGAGGTTTTTGTATATTAATATCAATAATTATTAAATTGTTTAAAAAGTTGAGGCTAAAGATATATATAAAGGCGTGAACTCAGCTTTTTGGAATACATAGTATTGTAGAAATAAACAAATCTGTATGTTTTATTTATTATTTTAACGATTGTGAGTATAGAGCATAAGGAAGAGAATAGCAGAGTATACCAGAAACAAAAATATGGGAGATGTCTACTTGAATATTGCTAAAATGAGAAAAAAAATAAATAAAAAAGTCGGACATATCAGTGTACATGTTATGGCTATCACAATTTAGCAATAAAGTCTATATTTCAATGTGTTTAGTGTCAACAAATACTGGTCCAGGATGTGCACTGTGAGCCTGTCTAAAGTGCCATCCGTTTGTGAGAGGAGGCGCGTTTGTCCATGAGGTGAAACTCTGCTTCAGAACGCGCCAGTGGCTTTGCGCAGCTTTGCGTCTCTGGGCTGCATTACTCTGGGGCTGCTCACACAAAGTTCCACTGAGGTATTTGTAGACTCGAGGTGGACTGACTGCAGCAGACCGGCGCCTGTGCAAGTCTCACCGCCCTGAGAGAGAAAAACAAAGCCCATAAAACAATGGACAACTGTTTTTCACGTTAGCAGAATTAGCCAACTAAACACACGCTTAATGAAAGAAACGAGCCATTTTGTCTAAGTATGGGGGTTTGTGGTGTTTATAATATTCTTTAAATACAATCAACGACTTAAACAGAGCCATGACTAACGTCTGAAAGCGAAACTTTCCATTGAGCGCATCTTGTGTGCCTTCGAGTGATTTGTAGCTCTGTGGCCAGAGTTGGATTTGACACTTGCCGCTCGCTTATTGTGACAGAACCGCGGAGGGCTTTGGTAAGAAGAGAAGAAAGGCAGCGTGCCAGCGCAGAAGGAGGAGGAGGCGAAGGAGAGGAGAGGAAGGGGCTGCTTTCCTCACTGTCAGCTTCTTTCTTGATGATGTCTCGGGGTTTTTAGAAAGTGCGTCTGTGACTCTACGGCGCCACTCAGCCGCCCCCTCTCGACTGCGCAGAATGAGGCACTTTGGGAAACAGTAACCCTTTCAGGCTCTGCCCGCCCGGAGAGTATTTTAGAAGCGTGTGAAAGGCAATACGCCGCCCTGGCTCCAGCCAGTGAGGTGCGCACCTTTAGACACACAGCCTGCCCAGCCAGCCAGTCAGAGGTGAGGGGCTCTACCCGGGCCGGCAGCACAAGGTGAGGGTCAGAAAGCACCATCAGCTCCCGGCAGATCACCGTTCAGCACATTTCAACAAAAAGGCTAGAGCCACTTTGCTTTAAGAATAACAATCAGAACATTTACTCACAAAAAAGGTAGAAATACAAAACAATGGTTGTAAATGACATCTTTAGACTATAAGTCAAATTTGGCGTAAGTGTCATGGCTTAGAAAATATAGTACCTATCCTCAAATGCCTATCAATCTTATGCTGTCTACTTCATTCATAAAAAGACAAAATATGACCATGTGACATTGTCATAGTTACACAGCCATCATTTGTGCTCATCATTTGTACTGCAGAAGCACATGTGAGATGTTGACACTTCACAAAGATGTTCATACAGTGCTCATAAAAACGTCAAGACGCCACTGCCTTCTGCTGTAATGACTATGTGACAGGGCTGTCTCCACACTCAACAAGCAGCTGCAAACAAAAGGACTCCTATACGATCTGCTCTTATCCCTTGTTAACATAACTATCTCATATTTATGTATAAAAAGATAAGGAGTAGTTTGTGCAGCCAAAAAAGGGCTGGAATAATGGCAGCAGATAATGATGTTGGCTGAGTGACATGCTTAGTGGTGAGGAGGCTGAGGCCTCATTATTCTGATGCTTGTGGTCACACTGGGAGCATCAGTGGGTGGTACAGTCTCAGTGCTCATTTTCATACCAGGACAAAAGTGCGCAGGTCACATGACAGTACCTGCATAGACAAAGGCGCAGGATTAATAGGTGTAATAAGTGTGGAGCCGCACATATCTGCAGACAGACAGAGCCGGAGACAAGGGTCTATGGCTGTAAGTGCACCCAAAGCCCACAGTAGTAAAAGGCTTTGAGTCAGCACTGTGAGGGTATTGATGATGACAGGGTATTAGCCCCAGCGCTGGAGGGAGGGGGCAGATGATACGCAGCATACCAGCAGACCACCAACCCCGGCATGTGGCGCATGTGTGTGGGCACATAACATTAGTTCTCTCTCAAAGGCAATAGAAGAAGTGTGTATGTAAGTGTGTACGCACGGCTACGTCTCCGAGCGGCTGTATGTGGCTTACAGATCTCTTACACGTGTCCTGGTGGTCTTCAGTTGATTTGTCACTTTATGAAGCCACAAAAATGGTCTAATTATAGCCCAGTGTTACCACAATCATGCCCGAAATGCATGTCTGTGTATTATCCTTCTTCAGAAGTCACCAGTCTCTCACAGCGGGCTGAGACTTATCTTTGTATTGCCTTTATGTAGGCTTTACAAACCTGAGGCAGTAGATAAAGAATTCATCACAACATCAACACAACAGCAAGCTCACATTCCCTAACCCAACAGGTGAGTTTATTCAAATGAAGGTTAGTACACTGAACAGCGAGAAGAACAGTGAAAAGTCATGTGCATGGCAAGCTTAAAAGTGACCCACATCCCAGCATACAACTTAATCTGTTTATATTAACCCTTATTAGACACGGTGAATCCAAAGTTAGGCCTAAATATAGAGCTATGAGTAGCGAGGTGCTAACAGGGCCGGGAATAGAGCATATTCTGAGCCCTGTTTCCATGGTTACACACGCCTTCTGGTAGTGCTGGTGTGCATCTTAAATTTAGAAAGGGATGCACCAAAAGCAGTGTTGTTTAACTGGTGTTATCAAGACTATTTGTATTTCATTGATTGGAAATGCAGACAGAACTACTCATTCTTACCTCGTCAATGTGAATCCAGGTTCAGCTCTTTCTGTCAAACCAATTCAAGTGTTTTGGAGAGTGGCCCCTGCTTCTCGAGAGGCCACTGACCCTCTCCACTGCAAACAAGTACTTACAGCTCTCCGCTAACACCAAATGGGCATTAGTGTAGCAGGGCATTCATCACCAACATGCACAAATATGAGATGATTCCAAATAGCTCCTGATAGGCCCTGGTTATCATAACGATCCAAACCACTGCATTTGAGATGTTTACTTGTCCACTCAGCTCCATCATGATTGCGATGGTGCTATTACGTACACTGGAGTTTTCCCTAATTCAAATCTATATTTCCGTACCCATGGTGTCGTGGGTCGCTGATTGCCCCCCCCTCCCCTCAGAGCCGGCGCGGCGCTGTCTCCCTGTACCCCTCTGTGCGCAGGCTGCATGGCATGCTGAGAATGTTTACTTTCGCCACAGTGTGTATTTACAGAGCCTAATAGTTTTTTAGGCCGCAATGGCGCCTTGCTCTGTAACATATGTACAACCCAACGTACTATCACTAACTCCCTGGCACTCCCAAACATACATCTCTGACAAGAAACTCAATAAGTGCTAGTCATGGTCTGCAGTATTACTAAAGCCAGGTGATGATGATGAAGTTGGTAAAATATTTAATGCCCCCAGTGGGAAAAATGTGACTAAGTTGTAAATAATCTGAATAAATGGATGTTTTGGGCATGCCGCAGACTTGTGAATGTGTCTACAGTAAGAGTTGGGAGTTTGGTCTGGTGGGGTGTACCTGGAAGAAGCCATTACTGATACCGCAGAGGTCTTGAGCCAGATAACTTGCAGGAAGATGCTACAAATAAAAAGGAAATTGTTAATCCAGTGTATTAATTAGACAAATTTGAAATACTGTTGCCGGATTCTTTTAGAAATGATGATTCCATACATTTAAAGTTCCTTTATTATGCAAAATATACTCTTGTGAGCTTTTAGCCATGCTCTAATGTTGATACTTTCTCAAAAACATACCTGGAGTTGAGTTTTCACACGTTTCAGTAATCCTGCATTGATAAGTCGTCTGCATTTCCAAAGCTCAAAATGCTCTGTTCCACCTCGTGCTGCTATGAAGTGCCTTTTACTTTTTGTTCAGTTGATTGGCATTCCAGGGCTGAAATCATCTAAATGATTCTAGTGAATGTGTAAGTTTAAAAACACAGAGGAGCAATTCCTGTATTACCACATGGCATCACAAAGTGGAATAGGGTGTTTGAGAGAAGAACAGCCTAAATATGCAGTGTCTGTGTGTTAAATTAAGTTGTGTGAATGAAACAAAACTCAAGGTATGATTCTGATGAGGATATTTATAACTTTATAACATAGATAAGATGGACACTTTGAAATATAATTTCACATAAATAGTTGTTTTGCTAAAAGCAATGCACTCATATTCAAGTTCAACTTCAGGGTGAATGTCAAGCTAGTGTTCTTGGCATTATTTAAAGTGAAACGTAGAATAAACACAAACAGAAATGTGGTTTTAACTCTATTACAGACAGTGCATTCAACCTCAGTGAAAGGACAGAGTTTTAAATGGAGCCCACAACACTCAGGCCATTGTCTTTGTGCCATTAGACAAAGCGCACAGGCTGAGGTGACCAAACAGGTGAACATAACTGGCTGTATTTTTCCCAGCAGGCCACAGCGCACCAACCTGACGTCCTGACGCCTGGCTGTCTGTCGTATTCAGCCGAGGTGGTCTATTCAGAGTAAGGGATGTATACATGTGTGTGTTGGTGTGTAAAACAGAGAGAGGGAGGGAGGGAGGAGGCAGCGGGTGAGCCACACAGAATGCTTGGTGATGGGTTACCAAAAACAGAGCACCGGGGGACAATGGGACCCAGGACATTCCTGACATAACCCCAACACATCGAGGAGGAAGTGGAAAGGGCTGGGGGGGTTTATTGGTGTCAGCGGACCCCCACAAGAGGAGCGAGTGCCTCTTTTGTCCCCTCCGGCGTTGGAGATGCACTGAATCGAGATGCCTTGCAAAAGAGTAGACAGCCTCCTCAACACATAACACATAATCAGGGCTTTGAAAGAAGAACCACCAATTAGAAAATGGACATAGAGGTTGGAGTCTGAAAGGGGCCGTGCTCTGTCTGTGTGTGTGGCAGCCTGCATGCACTTGTCAATAGGATCTCCATGTAAAGGGAGAGCCAAATGGGATGCTTTTCAGCTCAAAGTGCACAAGGGTTGACCCCATGGGAACAGCGCAATGACCTTGTTTGAATCAGACGGCATTTAGTCTCATTTAGAAATGGTTCATGTTACGCTGAAAGAGGGCATGACGAGCCAGAAATTGCAATACTCTGGTAATTGGCTGGACATTTGTCAAGTGAATTTCCCATAGTGTTATTCAAAACTGTGTGCGTGTGTGTATGTGAGAAAATACACTTTAGAGCTGTCACTAAGTCAATCAGATGACCATAACACTGTGAAATAATTATAAACCTCTGATAACCCATGCTACATGTTTGATAAAATCCATTGAGTAACACTATTAGAAGTCCTGGTTTTGGATTGCATTGTAATTACTGGCCTGCCCTGAGTCTCCTTACAGCTTATGCAAACCATATTGAAGGTAAATACCCCTTTTGTGAAAGGAAATGATTAGGAAAGCTGACCACTAGGCCCGACAAAGAAGGTTTTCTCCATAGATACCTGAGACTTAAGCCCCAGAGAAAACATCAACACTGCAGTGATTGAAGACTGTCTTTAAATGTCAATATGAGGAGATGAGGATAACTGAGGTAAAGAGCTAGTACACATTATACAAATAACATGGATCTATTGGCTTTAAATAAACTATAATCACATCATCTTAATTTTGTAGTGTACACTTGGCAGTTGAGCGCTCTTCTGATCCCCTCTCCGGCTCCTCCGACAGGTAAGAGCGCAAACTAAACCAAAGCAACACTGACATCTAGTGGTGACAAAACTATTTCTTAATAAAGAGGCACACTCATCTTGTAATCCTAGTATAAATCCTATAATATTCAGATTATGTCAGTAAACCAGTTTTCTAGTTCAGTCTTCTACAATAAAGTAAGCTCCCAATAATACAAATGACAGTAATTTGCAGTGAGAATGTTAAGTGGTTGTTCTGTCGCGCAGAAAAAGGCACAAAATTCAAATACAAATGTAACCACTTAAAAACAAGTCATTCTTTCCCTTTACTATGGGAGCATCAGTTGAGAATAACCACAGATACTGATGCTTATGGACTTGGACAGACAGGAGAGAAATATAAGAACAGCCCATGTCTTCCCTAAATGATTGCACATTTATTTTGTCATTATTTACGACCAGCGTATCAGAACTGAAATCCCTCCTCGCCATCCGCTTCCAACTCCGCAGATTAAAACTAATTCAGTGGCTCCATAGCCTTGGGTGGCATTGCTGTGACCGTACAATTTATTAGCTAATTGTCAAGACAGTGCCAGATTCCCCAGCTCATGAATATCAAGGCGGAATGAAAACCAGAATCTGCGCGGCATTCCCAGTCGCTCGGAACACACATCGAGTTCAAATGGGAACTTCCAAGCACTTCCAGCTGGCAACACTTTGGGATAATGATCCTGGATTCCTCACAAATGAACGGTCTAAATACCACCAGTGAGGTACCTGGACCCCCTCCCTTAATTCATGCATAGCTACATGTATGTAAAAACACACACATACTTTGAAGAATTTGGGCTAATCATGCATACACTTGAACACAGTACAAGTCAGGAAGCCATAGTTCCTGTTGCCATCATTTATACTGTCAAAGAAGCTAGCAAACTAAAAATAATCTTATGACTGGACATAGACCCTCCCCATGTACACACAACTTCCTAATGTTGAAGAGAGCAGATTGAGTTACAACAAATCCCTTACTGCAGCCTTGAGGTATCCTGATTTAAAAAAAAAAAAAAAGTCCAAGCTGGCAACAGACCACCTTCAGAGATGCAGTGTCAAAATGATGGATGGGTCAATAATACTGGCACAAGAAAATATTGATAGCTTTTCCTCCGCTTCGACATGCCCGACCCAGCAACAAAGGAGGACACTTACGTAGCCACCCTATAGTGTCCATTAATATGTCTAGTGTCCGGTTCCTCTCAGGACTAGAGCTTTGAAGTGGAGTGGCAGCTGAGCCGTGAGTGAGAGAGTGTGTGAGAACATGTATACAATAACGCTATCTTGACTTAGGACAACTCGGGGGAAAGTAAACACACTAGGACCCTCAAGTGCATTCTAAAGAGGGGCTAAAGCTGTTTATTTTTACACTAGACCAGTCTGAGAGAGTGCCCTCATTGCACTCTACATCTTCACTTGACCTGCTTTTTGTGCTCTTCCAAAATCTCATCACTTTACCAAACTGGTCCCTCCTCAAAAAACCTACCATGTTCAATCCTCTGGGGTCACAGTCAGCCCAAGCTAATTATCTGTGACTGGGTTCCTTTGCAGCCCCTGCACTTGGCCCACTTCTCAGCATTGCACTGGAAAAATACAAGACAGTTGTATTATATTGTTATGAACAGAGCACGTAACAACATATAGAAAACAAACATAATAAATTGAGTTAACTTGTGGCGCAATATTCAAAATTTCACATAATATTGTACTTTTGTGTTAGCCGTGGTTTACTGCAAGACTACTGGGTGCAAGTAGCCTATTTAGCACCAGGCAACAAACTTGCCTTTTTCGTTATGCTTGAAATACCTAAAAGACTTGGGCGCTTTCCAACCATTCGAGTGACAAAGAGAGAGTCACTTTCATTGGCCTAACTTTACAACACAACTAACTACTAAAAGAAAATCCACTGTAGGCTACTATGCTAACTCACCTAGGTCAGTCATCAGTAAAGAAACATTAGCATAGCTTAGACTCATGTTTGCTAAACTACACCTGTGATTAATCATAGATTCATTATAGGCATCATGGGCTAAATAAGATATTGTCATAAAATAGGCCTACAGTTCACACCTTTGCTGCGTGATTAGTTCCCACAGTAGTAAGCACAGATCCAGTGTGTGATAAGGTTATTTTAATAGATCCATGGTGCGGTCACGAAGCAGCAGTTTCCCTCCGACACCAGCAGTTGCGCACGGGGATCGTGGGAGGGGGCGAGCGCTTACGGAGCACTTTGTGGCGCTGTTTTTCATACACCCACAAGAGGGCGACCTTTACCTTAAAAAACGGCGGGATTTCTCTTTGAAAAAAGTATGCCTTCAGTATCCAATTCAGTAAAATAGTGCCAAAAAGAGCGAGGGGGACCCAGGAGGCTGACATCTTGTGCGGGTTGTCCGCCACAGGGAACCCGCCTGACACCAGACTGCACACTGGGCCCGTGCACATGTGCTCCAAGAAGCCTGCGACACCCAAAACAAGCGCGGATAAAGGGCCCCTATAGAGCTGCACAAGTAGGTGTGTTTCCTGCTGTTACAGTACATCTTCTTTATCCTATATTTTACTAATATTAAAATTGAGTCAGTGAGTGCATTACGTTGCTTTTAATGCAAGAGACAATATTTTGTGTTCATTTTCACAGTTGTATATTCATGAATTTTATTAGAGTGGAAGCAGTTAAAAAAAAAAAAAACTTAATTACACACGAAAATCGCACGAACCTCTTTCATCAATGTTGAAAAACACACACTGCACCTCAGGCCTTATTCAGCTACATTCATTCCACATTTGATTAGATGAGGCCCACTTTCGTGGCTATTTTAAATTTGAATGCAAATATGAAGAGCCAGTAGCAGTTTGGAAAATGTATTCTATTCTATTTATTTATTTTCTTTCTTTCTTTCTTTTGAAATATTTGAGTAGACTGAAGTATTCGAAAAAGGCCAAGTTGGCCCGGATGGTTCCCCCCGGAGGATGGTACAGTAAACACAGGAGGAATGTTGATCAGCTTATTGAGCCAGGAGGTGCCGTGATGCCGCAGTCTTGGTTCGCTTGTTGGTGGCTTGCACCTGTAAAACACTACACGCTGTTGTGTGGAACATGACTGGTTTTACCAAGGCAAACAAGTTCTGTGTCCCCTCATATTGGCTATTATTATTAATATATAACTACAGCCTAAATGTTTAAATAGGAAGGTTAGAAACATCCCTTAACATAAAAGATTGTGAATTACTTTTCGGTTTGCAAATTGACATTTGGTGCGATTTTACGCACATGCGGGACACGTCCATATTTTACCAAAACGTATGCCATGTCTAGTCCTTTATTTGAAAACAAAGAGAAGATGCTCTTGCGGTCCTGTTCTAATGAGAAAACAAAGCCGTGTGGCAATGGAGCGCATAACTGAATGTGCAGCAGTCTGCGCGTCAAGCGCTTGTGGTAAAAGTGAGACCAGTTGTGTTGTTGGAGGTGTAAACACAGTGCAAGTGCTACTTTGACAAAGTGGTTATTTTGGTTTACGGCTTGTTTTGGCCACACGGCTAAATTATACCTGTCGCCAAATTACAGGTGAAGTTAAGACACGGCGACCAATTGCTTTCTGACTCTCTCTCTCTCTCTCTCTCTCTCTCTCTCTCTCTCTCTGTCTCTCTCTCTCTGTCTCCTCTCTCCCGCTCTCTCTCTCTGTTTCTCACTCTGTCTCTCTCTTTCCTCCTCTCTCACACTCACGCGCGCCGGGGGAAATGTGGGTTTGATTTGAAGGAACAGCCTACCCCGGGCTGGGCTTTACAACCTATGGCTGGAGTGGCCGCTCCTCAGTTGGTGTGAGCTCCGGACTCGGACAGGCGCATTGCTCTGCCTCTTAACATCGTTGACTGCGCTTTTACCTGCCGGCTCTTTTTCTGTCAGTCTGGAGAAACGGGGTGTTTTAAGTCGCAGAACTGTCTCAGTTTGGATCTTAATACATTATTTACAACGGTGACATCCAAGATTTGACTTTAGGTGAGTTCAATGTTTAACTAAAGAGGCCAACTATTGTATATTCTGAAGTCGTTGTATTTTGCGTGCGTGTGGTGTTCCGTCAGTTTCATAGTGAGTTCATTTCACATGTCCTTCATGGTTGCCGGTGTGTTTCGGGTCCTGGTCAGAGAGCCCGATGCAAAGGCCGCACAGGTGTCAGTTCTCCGCTTCACTTGACCCTGCGGCCGCAGCACAGCACAGTCCGGTGCGCAGAGAGGGAGGATTGAGCAAAGCACGGTTTTTAATAAGGGGGTAGTCTACATTCAATGCCAGGAGAAGATGCCAAAGCAAGCAGCACGCATCTCGGTTCCACAGTTCAGCCTCTGCCAAGTCTCCCAATGCGTTTGTCACTTCCAATATTTTTCTTCAAGTTTCAACAGCACCATATGCACACTGACCATCATGCCATTAACCAACCGTTTAATTGTCACCTAACTGTACTTTATATACTGTATTTGATGTCTTTAAACTGCTTAACTGTATGTACTAAAAACTAAAACTAAAGGGATGTATAGGAGATTGGTCAAGTGGCCCAATTTGGGATTTCCCAATGAACTGCTTTAAATTCATTTGAAACAGGGGTCTTCCTCACTACTCTGCAGCATTGTCTCCTGACCTACTTGTCACTTTGATCCAAACTGAACAAGATCTATGAACTGGACCCGCATTGCTTGCAGTCATCTGCACTAGGGTCATGGTTATGTTTTTACAGATTCAGGAGATTCTACATTGTAGGAACCGTTTGCAGCTCCTGTGACTCTTTTTAGTATTGTATTGAGATGTTCTTAGATCCTGCTCTGGGGCAGGTATTTTTCAGTCACTTTGATATTTTGATGAGGTTATAGGTGACGTTGTATTTTAAATGTCTTTCAGTCACATGTTATTTGACAACTGTGTTGTGCAGTTTTATGTGCGTTGGTTTACATTGTATAGAATAAGATGTAAAAATATACACGTGATAAAATATATAACTGTCCATCCACATCCACTGCTGAATGTAAACACTGTTAGATTCTTTTCATCATCATTACTTGGATGTCTGTTTCCTTTGCACATCCATTAAACCTGTACCCTTTCCCCAGAGTCCGCTGTCTCCATGCAAACTCCAGTGACTAAGGTTCTATGGCCGAATGGGAACTGAAGGATTACAGGGACTTGGTTCCTGGTACTGTTTGGTTCCAAACCCTCTATTATTTGTTGCGTCATGACTCCATAATTTATAGTGAGGGCGACCAGGTATACATTGTAGATGTAGAATGGGTGGATGAGAAAGAATCAAAAGAATGGTAGAAAGATAATCAGTGCTTTGAAAGGCAGGCTTACACTGGATCCAGTTTCTGTTTTCCTGAAGCTTTAAATCAACACACTAGTCATCACCTCAGGACAGCAACAGGGCAAATGCTTCCCTCTTAAATAACAGTCTTTCTGATTCTCTCCATCACTGACTTAAAAAATGCATTTGTTTTGTTCTTGTGAGCAGAGGTGCATGTGGAGTGGTGTGAGACGCACCTCTTTGTACCAAGGTGAGAATGAAGTGGAGGGCTTAAGTGATCATGTGTTTACTCTGACAGACAACCCCCCCCCCCCCACTCCCCACTTTTAAAACAGTCTTCAGTCTTCAGCTCATCACTTGGTCCTGTCTGTCAGGACCAGGCTGTGTGACAGTGAGTACCCTGCAAGACCTGCATGTGTCCCTCACATTACAGCTCCAGATACTATGTCTATGGCCTCTGCCCACTTAGTGCCTATCAGGCCTGACTCAGGAGCCCAGATTTCTGAGGAGCTTTTTATCTGTGACTGGGGGTAACACTGATCAGTTTTATACAAAACTGATTACATACCAATTTGTCCATTTACATTTCAGATTACTTATGCTACAATTAATGATGCAGTAAACAAATGAAACAAAAAATAACTTGTTTTTCACTGGGATGAGAAATTGCATTTTCATCTGAAAATGGCAAGACACATTAAAACATTTTTGATGAGTCTCGGTTATTAGTTATTGGTTTGCAGTAGGGCAGGGAGCTATTTTGATAATGTGATAATGTGATCTTGTCAATGTGACAATCTGCTATTTTGATCAAATCAACATATCGTGATTCACTAATTCTTTTGAATGCAGCTCTATGTTCAGATTAATGCACATTTCCCCACCTGCACCTCCTATTGGTCAGCTTCAGCAATACTCTGAATGATTGACAGGTGGATTAAACCAACTGCAATGAAGCGTGAACTTTCAGAAGAAGCTGACTACTTTAGTTTAGTAACCTCTTAAAGGCTATATAAACATGAACTGTGCTAAAATCAAAATAGTAATCTAATTACAAGAAAACTGTTATATGATTTTTTTGGTCCCTAGTTTGAAGACCCATAAGCCAGTGCTGTCCTGACACTGAGAGGCAGGCTTAAACAGTGTGAGCGAGCTTGCGGCCTCTCCAGTCTGCCTTATTGACTGTCTCCGACATAGAGCCCATGTGTTTGTCCATCAGCGTGGTGTGTTTAAGTGTCATGTATGCCACAGTGTGAGTATTACAAGCACTTAATAAAATAATTAGTGGTTTTTCCCCCTGCGAGTTCAAAGCAGGTTCTTGCTCTGGGCTGTGGGCTAGAGGTTTTCTCTTGTGCAATGGAAAAAAGAGACTTGTTTTCCTGTCGGGGGGGCTTTTGGGGAAAACCACAGCACTGCCTACCGCAAAGGCCTTCAAAGAGCTCTAGTCCACACCTCTCCTTTCCGTAAACCTTCAGGGCCATTGACTTCCTCACTGACTCCAAATTCTCACCTGCTTCACACCATCATATCTTGTCTTCATCACTCTAAGAATCATGGGAATTGTTCAATCTAAAGATCCAGGGTCCACCCACGTAGACTTTAAACAGGGCGTTTTAAGAGCGCACAGTTCCTGCTCCGTGACACCCAGTGAGGAGGAATCTGGCTGTGGGTGTCATCTTCTTTTCCCAGGCGCATCTTGACAACACATGGAGCAGAAGTATTTCTTGTATTTGAGAGTGGATCAGAGGCTGACATGGGAGAGCGTAAATCTGTGAACTTGTGTCCTCTCACTCCCACATCTTTGTATAAGGAGATATTCAAGACAAAGTATGGGACTATGTGAACTATGGGACACTATTGGCAACATCACAATATCAAAAGTCTCTGTGCTTAGTATCTTAATCTTTACTATTTGAATTTTCTTTATTTCATGGGTCTGAAATGCATAGCGCTTTTTTAGAAGAATTGTAGGGAATTACTCAGACCAAGATCTTTTATTCTATTTCAATGCAGCCAACATAAAGCAATTGATAATTTCTCACATAGCACTAGGCCTCTTACGATAAAATAAAATAAAAGTACTATTTAGTGTGGAAGAAAATATAGATGAAATATAAACGACAATACTGAATGTAATTATCTCCACAGGTAATGAATATAAGATGCAATAAATAAGTGAACCACTTAAGTTATAGAAGTTATTTATTCACAACTTACTGATCACCAAAAATTATTGTTCCATTATGTTTTGAATAATATGTATATCAGTAAACTTTCAATCTTTATTTAATGTTGTCGTAGATCTGATATAGATAGACCGATCAAAACCTATTTCTGAAATGTCCAATATTGTTCTATTTATATTTTGTTTGATTAATTATCAAAATTAAATTTTGATACTACTTTATATATTTATATATATGGGTAGCAATTATCTATAGAGAGGTGACCCCAAATATATGTTTTTAAGGTATTCTTGAGCAGTAGAAACACCTGTAATCAGATGAATGCAAGATGAAGTTTAGTGTGAGGAAAAGCAGGTGTTGACCCTCCACCAAAAAAGTAACATAGTGCACCTTTAAAAACAAATGCACCTTTTCTGCCATTGTGATTTCTGTACTGGTGTTATAGAGCCTGAGAATCTCCCTGACCCCGCAGTCCACCTTGGGGCTGTCTGTCTCTGCTCCTCCCGTTGGCCCGTGGATCAGGTTTATGTTGATTTAAAGAAGTCAGGGTCCCGGGCCAGCGGCGTGTGGGCAGGGCAACAGAAGCAGGCGCATTCCTCTCCAGGGCGTTCGTGCTTTTCCCTCTCCCTCACTCCCCTCGCTCCTGTCAGGCACAAAGATGGAAAAATAAAGACGCAGATTATTGGACTCACGTCTTTTGGATGTGGAGATGTCACACCCACAAGCTCTTGGACTGAAGCAGGGTTAAGAAATTAGGCGGTGATCCTGGGATGCAAGGTTTGACCGGGTCCTCCAGGACCGGTTGATGGCAGAAAAAAATGTGACTCAATTCCAAATTTCAATTTCATTTTTATTTTGTCTTCTATAACTGGCTTTTAATATCAATTCCTTAAACATTAAAGATGCACTATGTAACTTTAATGGTGGAGTGTGAACTAGGTGCTTGTCTTCATTATAGCTGAGTATTCCACAGAATTGGGCCTATCTAGCTTACATTTATTTTCATTAGGAGTGCATTTATTTCTCAAAAATACTTTTAAAAAGATGGCTTCTTCCTCTGAGTGCCTCTCCACAGTTCTGACTTCCTCCAAGGAGATATATAAGATTACTGTAATACTGTATAAATAATTAACAATTAGAAAAGACTGAATCATAGTCATAGTTCATATTTTATGAATTGCACAGCCCTACCTCCTCTGTTCTCCATATTGTGGGCCTGTTATTGATCTAATATAAAGAGATAGGAGAGTGAGAGTCCCTAAGGTCCACACTGTGTGACCTCAGCTGTCAGCTCATCACTCATTCATTCAAATGTATGTGTACACTATCAGCATGGGTTTGGTTAGCTAGAGTATGCAAACAACTTTACTTTTAAAATGTATTTCTTACAATGAGTTGTCCAGGATTGGACAGAATGTAAAGACTAAAAGACTGCTAAGCTATGAACCCCATGCATTTCAGAACATGATCATAATGGTTTAGACTACAGTTACAACAAGATTTTTCTATAAAAAACACTGCTCTTTGCAGTGGACATTCTATTATCTAAATAAGTGTTCTCTTAGGGTTTTGAGAATTGTGCCAACACAAATTGTGGCTTTGATTTGATTGCGATATATTGTGCAACTCCGGTCTTGTTTTCTGCCCAATTTAGTTCTGATGTACACTTGGATTTTCCTGTTCTAGGTCTGATTTAGTTTATGGTCCAAGTTTACTTCAAATTTTGATGTGTGTTTTTTTAACTGTTCATTTCAGTAACACATTTGGCAAACACTCTATAAGACAGAGATTGTCGCTAATTGTCAGTATCCAATTATATTCACCCCATTCATCTTTGTGTGATGATAATGAGCCTGGAAGTGCCCTTGTTGTCAGCCTATTAAAGCGGCCTCAATGCCCCTGCGCGGCCGCTAATAACCCCCCAGAGATCACTGTACATCAGACCGGCCCGCTGTCATCCAGAGGGGACGACCCGGCGGACCCTAACCCTCATCCAGGGCCCCCATGTGGGATACAAAGTGGCTCAGCTGTCTCTCCCCTCTCCCCCATAGTGCTGGTGCTTCTTCTTCTCCCAAGCCAAATAAAGCCTCCTGGCCACTTGTGTTTTCCTAATCTGTGAACTCTGACAGAGGCGCCCACGCTTGAAAGGGAGACAACTCAACATGGGACGATCTCCTGGTGACAGGGAGAAGCTGAAAAAACTGTGCACGGAATGTAGCTGCTGAAAGTGAAGACCACCCTGCGGCCTCAGATCTGCGAGTCCTTCTGTCTGTCTATGACTCCTCCAGTGCTGTCAGAATCAGATTTTATTTCCATTGTCCCGCTTGGTCAGTCAGGGCTTCCTCATTGGGTTGTCATTGGTTGATTACCTAAATATTCTTTTGAGCCAAGAACAACTTCTAAAGCAGGATGTTTCCTTTCTCTCTCCATTCACATATGTGGGTAGGGTACTGGACTTTTCCATTGAGAACTATGTGGTCCATCTGGGTAACGCTGTTGAACTTGTTATTTTCTTGTGGGTTACTAAAATTGTAATATAATATATACAAATGTCTGATATTCTAACACAAATTTAGAGCTGGGTAATGAATTGGATTTTTATTGAGATGGAGATTCAGTAATGTCTTATCGTCATTGATTAGCTAGGTTCTTTTTAAACGAGTGGTGGCTTTGTTTACGCAAATGAAAATAATACTGACATTTTTATTTAGTTTTTTGAAAAGAAAGAGTGAAGTCTAACTGAATGGTAATCTGAGCTATAATGCATTGTTTTTGGTCTTTGTGTCAAACCCAAACAACAATGAATCATGAAGGCCCAATAAAAGATTCTAAATTTGAGTTATTACTTTAAAAGAATGCTGTCAATTTGGAATATGTGTTATATTACTAGAGGTGGGTAGTACTCAGTTACTGAGTTACATTTAGTTACTTCCAACTGTAAGTCCACAAGACAAAAGCTTTACACTGACCATAATAAATGATTGGAAGATTTGTGTCTGTCCTTTGAAAATACCAGAGTTTGTGTATTATTATTCTTTTGTCCTTCAAGTTACATTAATTTCAGATTATAAATCAGATGTTTTATTTCAACAGTTACTCTTTAAGTTACTTTAAAGTAGTAGTTTCCCAAATCCCAGACTTTTTGCTCTTCTTCTTGGATCTTTACTTGTTCATCTACTTGAGTAATATTATTTTAAATTAAAGTTATTCTTACTTGAACACAATTTTGTCTACTAGAATTTAGACTCCATCTTGATCAAAACACCAACGGCCTGAAGCTGCTGCTACTGAACCACTAATGAAAGACAATGTGCGCCCCTCAGAGGACACTGTTGGCCTGTTAAACGCACTGTCAGAGCTTTCTGCTGAGTCAGGGCATCAGTATGTTTAAGGTCATTCAAATGCACCTCTGACCTTCTGGCTCACTTCCCAAACATGTAGAGTTGTGATACAGGATTCAGGTTTTTATACAGACCAGATTTGCACTAGAATATTTCAGTATTAAACAGAATGTCACTGCTCTGTGTCTGTTTAGGCTTAATCTCCCAGGAGGCCCGGCGGCACATGGAACGCACCATATTTAGTCACCAGTACAGTGCGCGCTCTGATCCTCCTCTCCATTCTGTGTCCCTGCTCCTCTCCTACACCTCCATCACTGTCAAAAACCTCCTGGCGTCTTTCACTTCCTCTTGGGCTTCGGGGTCTGCTTGTCTTTCTCTCTTGTGCTTGTCAAAAGTGTGTTTCCTTTTCCTCTTTGAACTCATCAAACTTTTTGTACCTCAACAACGCGTCAATCAAAAGAAGTTTTCTCCTCCACGGTCACTTCCTGCCTCTCAGCTTCAAATCTGTTTATTTTGCCATTGATTTTTGCCTTTATTTTGCTTGTGTGTAAGGTTTAAGTGGAATCCATGCCTTTGTGCCTGGCTAAATGATCTGTGAAATTATTCCCTATATCTCTCCTCAACTGGGCTGATGGACTGATGATTGAATAATAAATTTATGTATTAAAATTTCTGTTTGAACGGTACCAAGATCAACTAACACAGACCAACAGCAATGAAAAGTATAGTTCCATTTGGTAAACATTTCGAAAATTATATGAATTATATGCCTAACAATTTTCTGTAATTGGTCATATCCTGTGTTCTGCCCTTATTAAACTTGGTTATTTTATCACATGCTTGCATTTGGCTTGTAGATTTACAATAACAGAATATGTCTGAAATAATGTCATTTGTGTGCATGTTTTGATCACAGTTATTTCCTGCTCTACGATGCCTGTTCTGACCTGTGGTTCTCTCCATAGGCTAACACGATTTCATCCTGGGGAGAAGCATCACCAGCACCTACCATCTACCCCCTCTGACCTCACACAGACACTTGGGCACAGGCTCTGGGAGAGTCCCGTTGGAGCAGGATGAAGGAGCCGTGGAGAGGCCTCTTGGCCCTGGGCCTTCTGACCTGCTCTGCTCTGAGCCTGAGTGCTGTAAACCCGTTTGCTGGACAGCAGGCCCCTCTGGACCCATGCTACGACGACACAGGAGCTGCACGCCGATGCATCCCCGAGTTCATCAACGCAGCGTTTGGCAAAGAGGTGGCCGTGTCCAGTGTGTGTGGCCGCCCTCCCTCTCGCTCCTGCAGTGTGGTAGAGCGAGGAGATGACCGACCGTCTGTTCGTACTTGTCAGATCTGTGATGCGGCTGACCCCCGCCGTGCCCACCCGCCCTCCTACCTCACAGACCTAAACTCTGCTCTGAATCTCACCTGCTGGCAGTCGGAGAACTTTAACACGTCCCCTCACAACGTCACACTCACTCTGTCTTTGGGAAAGAAATTTGAGATCACCTATGTGAGCCTACAGTTTTGCTCCCCACGGCCAGAGTCTATGGCCATTTACAAAAGCATGGACTACGGAAAGACCTGGATGCCCTACCAGTTCTACTCGTCTCAGTGTCGCCGTATGTACAACCGACCCAACAGAGCCACCATCACCAAGCTGAATGAGCAGGAGGCAGTGTGCACAGACAGCCATACAGAGCTGCACTCTGCCTCTGGGGGGCTCATTGCCTTCAGCACTCTGGACGGGAGACCCTCAGGGAAGGACTTTGACAGCAGCCCAGTGCTGCAGGACTGGGTCACTGTCACTGACATACGAGTGGTCTTCAGTCGCCCACAGATGCCCCCATTGCCCCGGGACCACAGCACGGGGAGGGAGGATGAGCCTGTGGCGGTCCCATCCACTATGGCTACTTACTTTTATGCAGTAGGAGACTTCCAGGTGGGAGGGAGGTGTAAATGTAACGGACATGCCTCTCGCTGTCTAAAAGACAAAGAAGGCAAACTGGTGTGTGACTGTAAGCACAACACAGAGGGGCCAGAGTGTGACCGCTGCAAACCCTTCCACTACGACAGGCCATGGCAGAGGGCCAGTGCCAGGGAGGCCAACGAGTGTCTGCGTAAGTCTGCTGTTCTCTTTAACCATACTCCTGACTGTGTAGTATGTGAGGGTCTTATGTTAGGGCTCATAGACGCACTTGTAGATGATGCTGATCCTGTCCTGTCAGTTTCTTTACAGAGGGCACATCTAACAGTAAATAACTGCTCATGTTTTTGGCACACAACTACTACTAGTAAACATGTTATCTGGAATCATTTGTCTTTAGCTCAAGAGAAGCTCAGCATCGTTTTCCAGAGTTGTTCTAAACCTGTGCCAGCGAGAATGAAAGCAATTTAGGTGTCATTCTGTGTAACTATATGTGATCATCTTTGCACTGCAGAAGTCTGTGATATCATGTTATGGAGCTTGTTTAGCCTTCACTCTTTATTTACTTCATATTATTCCTTCTGAGAGCCTATGTAAGTCATATGTTTTCTGCACAATTTTTCCACTACATGTGGTAAATTTAACAGTATTGCTCTTAGTATAAATAGACTTTGGTAGGACTTTATTTAGGCCCTGTGTGCTTGTCATGAAAATATGTAAGTGCAGGAAGAAACCACTGGCCCCTTTTTAACCTTTTCTATAATGAAATATAACCACATCCAGAAAAAAACACTCCACTTGATATTTTTGTAACAAGTTGTAATTGCCCAATGCGTTGGCCTCAAATCCTATTTAGAATTGGACAGTGCCAGATGTGTTTAAGCAGGACAGAGGGGGGCAGGAGCGGAGAAGGGAAGCAATAATAGCATCAGTATGGCAAATAAATTCCACCTCTCCTCCTCGCCAGCATTACCTTTCTCTGGCTCCTTGTCCATCATTGACACATTTCTTGACTAAAGCCATGCGCACACACTCGTCTAAACAATATCCTGTGAATCCCTTAGTGTTTTCTCCGGTAATGTGGACACGCCTCTTTTGACTGTAGCCTTTTCTGTTTCCGAAACGTTACACCCGCTCCGCGCTCGGCTCCTCTCTGCGGACCTGATATGTCACTTCCATCCACCATTCCTGGACTAAACAGCCACGCTCCTACGGCCAACTGGGATGACCTAATCCAAGTGTTGATATTGGGCAGTAAAAAACTATTGCCTATTGCACGCTATACCTGATCACTCATCCGGACTGACACGCCAAATATCCAGTCCCAGATGCCCACAATTTAGATTTCACAAGGACTTTTTTTTTACAACAAATTCCTGTAGATTTTTTTTCTCAAAAATGTTCAGAGAAGTAGCAGGGCCTTTTAACTAGGCTTTCCAATATATTCTGACAGTGCATGGTGCTGTTTTGTTATGAGAGGCAGTAAGCTGAGTGGACCTTGTAGGTGTCATTGTTTTAACTGGAGGAGCAAGTGAGCTCTACTGACCAGAGAAGTCCCATAGGTGTCACCAGAGCCTTCAGCGTGGGCCTCAGGGTGTTTGTGTGTGTGTGTGTGTGTGTGCGTGCGTGTGTGTGCGTGCGTGTGTGTGTGTGTGCGTGTGTGTGTGAGTGTGTGTGTGTGTGTGTGCATGTGTGTGTGTGTGTGCATGTGTGTGTGTGCGTGTGTGTGCGTGTGTGTGTGTGTGTGTGTGTGTATATGTGCTAGGGTGAGGGGGGCAGAAGGGCTAAGCAGAGGTCATGATCCTGAGTGTGGTGGTGACAAGGTTAAGTTGTCTGGAGAAGGCTTGTGGCTAATAAGGAACTGTAAGGGGCAGCCGCAGAGCCAGTTCAGTGGTGGTTTTACACTCTGAGAAATGATGTGTGATGCAGAGAAGCTGTTACTGCTGCTGGTTTGAGGTAGTAACCATGATCTCACAGACTGAGACTACGCCTGACGTCTCGCACAGTGTCCTGGCTCGCTCCATAGTCTGACACTGAGCACACATACAAGCCCCTTCACTGTGGCTCCTCTATGACAGCTTACAAACCGCCAGGCAGAGGCGACACAGAGCCTTGTAAAAGTCTGCTTGTGTTGAAGACGACACAATGGAAAAAGCTGTGATGGATTTGCCTCCAGCAGAGGCCTGGGGACAGAAAGAGGAAACAGATGGATATGAAAATGTTGGCGTCTCTGTTGGCACAGTGTAACAATCTAAATACTCTGTGTTGACTTTAAGATGTGAAACGCTATATCATGTCTTAATAGAGTCTGCCAAAGCCACTGTAAAGGAGCAAGAGCCTCTTGTGGATTCAACGACAATGTGACAGAGTGTAGCTGATCATTTATGGTGGAGCAACTGCAGGCTCTTGGCCATGTTGGCGGCCATCTTGGCTCTGTTTGCATACAACACCAGTCTGTTCTCTGTCCCTCCTCTCTCTCATTAGGATTCAGAGAGGAAGTCCTGCGTAGATCTCTGGGAGGTGTGCAGGACTGTGCCAAGCCTCATCCCTCCCAGAATGTACCAGTGAAACTGCTCAGAGCGCTGGGCTGCTGTGGTAGAACAGGGTCAGAGGAAGGCTACACAGCCCTGTGGTTGAGCACTTATAAAGGCAGGTACATTTGGCACAGTTTGAAGTTACATGTCTCTGGGTGTGGTTTGGAATAGATTTATGTAAAAATGTAACTTTATTAATAGTGTGGAACCAATCCGAGCTCATGTTTGAGGGAATTTCCTGTCAACTCAAACCAATATGGCAAGTTAATAAACACAGCATTATACACAGATGTCATCACCTGGACTGAGTTGCATGAGAAGATGGCATTAGCTGGTACAGTGTATATGTAATCGAAGTGTATGTGTGCCACCCAGATGAAGCTGCACATTAGAGGCGTGGATCAGAGCAGAACAGGCCCGAGTGAAAGTGACAGCTTTAAAGTGTATCCCTGTGTGAGTGCTTACAGACTGGTGTAGGGCTGTGCTTCCACAGGCTCAGCTTGTGTCTTTTGGAAACTATTAGCTGGAATTAGCAGGACACTGACAGATGGAAGAGCGCTGTGATCCAGGGGTGCTCCGAGCAGGGCTTAAATACAAGAGTGTGGAAACTCAGAGGACTGGGACGGATCCATAGTAAACCATGTCTTACACACACAGACTCAGCTCAGATGCTTATTGGAGGCTGATTAGAATTTCAAAATAGGGTGCAGTCCTTTCACAACTTTACCCCCCAACCCCTCTCTCTTTCTCTTACAAAGGGCGCACAGAGGTGAAGATCATTTTTAGACTTTGTGAAGGGCTTACTACTCTAACAGAATAGTTTTACAAGTGACGGACCCTAGTAGAGTTCCTTCTTGTTTGTGTTACCTAGCGGGCGTCATGACATGGAGCTTTGTGTGAGTCTATATTTAGAGGTGTGTGGAGGATAAAGCTGGAGTTAATGTGCCTAATATGACTACATGTATGCGCTGTGTTCCAACTTTCGCTAATTGACTTTAATGCCCTGCACCCCTCCTGCCTGCTCCTGTCGCTGGAGGGCAGCTAATGGGACCCAATACTTCAATTAGTTACACTGCAGCCCCCAAATGAGACAGAGCTGTGTGCGCATGTGTGTTTGTGTGTGTGTGTGAGCGAGAGACAGAGGAGGGGGCGCTGAAAGAAGGTGGATTTGAAAAAAGAACCTCCTGTGCTTTCAAATAATTACACAGCGGAGGAATGTTGTTCTAAAATCAACAGCCCTATGAAATGATGCCTCTGGGGTGCTGGCGTGAGATGCGGAGCCGCTGCACTGGCCTACATGTGTGGGACTGTGGCTGACTTTTACTTACTCTCAGTCTATGGAAGTATGGGCAGAGATGGATGAAGCAATGCAAACAAGATATTAAAGTTATATTGCTTGAGTAGAAGCAGCTAACAGAATTAACAAAACTTAGCAAGCAATAATAAGTTTGTCATCTAATAAAAATATATATCAAATACCTTCAAATTTATTTTTATGCTTTAATATTAGTCTAATTGCATTTGTATATTACTTGGACCTCAGCTTTCAATATCACCCAACCCTAAACTTGATCTAAATCTTGTATTATCCAAACATAATGAGGTACTCCAAAACTGAGAGACCTTTGAGTTAAATAAGTAGTAAGTCTGTATTTAAGATACGCTTGACTCTTCTGTGTCTCCAGATAAAAGGCAGACATACAGTATTCATATATATGATACTGATACTGATAACAACGGTAACATTGATTTATTCTTAATTGCAAAAACCTTGGAAATGATCGCCAAGCCCTTTTTGTGGTTTGGTGTTTTGGCTCTCAAGACAATCAGAAAGCAGAATGAGCTTCACATGAGTCTCTCATCTGGGTTACCAGTCAGTGCTGAAATCCAGTTTTTCTCTTTGATCTGAAAGGTCACTACCTAAACCCCAGCACATGCAGCCAATAATCATGAATCAGTGCTAGTACAGCCTCTGCAGCTCAGTGACTGAATTCTGAAGATTTTGAACTTTCACATGAGGCATGGTCTGTCCATATACTGGGAATGAGGAAAATCCTGTTTGTGTCATATGCAGTATATGCAGGCTAAGGAACTGACAACCCAGGTGTTCTTTCGTTTTGTGTGATTTTTGTCAAATATACAATTTTCCTTCATAAATCAACTAAAGTAAATATGTTTCTTGTCCTCCTGACTCTTCTCATATAAAGAAGCCACCCATAGCGTGAGGGAGGTGCGCTGTGAGGACAGCCCAGTGTCTGGTGACTGTGTTCTGTCAGCTGGGTTAAATCCTTTGGAAAAGCCTGTGGTTGCCAGAGGCCAGGAGTGTGTGCATGTCTATGAGAGCTGCATGAAATCGAGTGTTTCTGTAGCGCGGTGTTTGAACCCGAGGTGAGGTGGAGGAGGGGCGACTCTGTGCCACCCGCTCTCACAGATGGTAGTGATCACCTCCTGCTGACTGTCCGCTGGAACCATCCCAAACCATTTACTCTGTGCTCCTCGCTCCCAGTACTGTCCAGGTTTCCAGTTAGCTCTTCTGTTTACGGGAAAACTATGCACAAGGCACAAGGCACAAGGATACATGACAGACCAGAGCTGCATGTAACAGTATGCAAATAAAGCACTCAGCAAAACATACTCAACTGAACCAGATCTATTCACT